GGTTAACAAAGTTTCTACCCGGATAAGAGTGCTTATACGGGTTACCCGGGTAATCCTTATCCGGGCCTAATCTCTATCTTAACTCACCACAACCATTACAATCACCTTTTTCGACAAATGTAGTGTTTGTCTTATTTTTTGATGAATTTGATTGATAGGTAAATGTCTTAATATATAATGACATGAAATAATGAATGACATATAAGAATGGAAGAATGAGGGTACGTATAAAAAGACAATATTGTTGCGCGAAATTGTCGACATTATCGAGGTATACAAGGTTTTCATCGTCAAGGATTTCACTTGGATCTTCTGTAGTCATTGCATCAACAAGAGTGGTAAAGTCTGCAATACTCTTGTTAAATTCCAACATTCCTTGTTCGAATCTTTCTTCATGTACACTCTTTTGTCGCTTATGAGCCTTTTCTCTTCTAAGGGCTCTGCCCCGATGTTCATCATCATCCTCATCATACTCGTATTCATCATCATCGTATTCATCATCATCTGATTCATCATACTCGTATTCATCATCTTCTTCAATTTCGTCGATCAAATTATTAATATCCCCAAAATCAAATGATTGTTGACTTGTAGTTGAAGGGGCACGTTTCTTCTTTTCACGCCCTTTAACAGGTTTTTCCACTGCTTCTAGTGCTTCATTTATCATGAAATTTAATAAATCGCGCATCTTGTTAAATGAGGGATCATTAATTTCAAGCTCTTCATCTTCATCACTTTCTTCTATTTTTGGAATATGATCTTTTAAGAAATAAACCATTATTAGATTAACTGTTTATATTTCTTTTACACTTAACAATAGCTATATCTAAATCATACTTATGTCAGGTTCAGCTTCTTTAAATTCCTTATGATGATAAATTTGGTTAAAAAGTGCGATACTAAATATCATTTTAATCATGTATTATGAGATCATTCATACTTGATCGTTTGTACTTAATTTCTTGTCTTCTAAATTTATCCCATATTTCTTAGATTGGCAATCTATAAAGTAACATTTTTATTATTGGAAAATTCTCATTCTTGATGTGATTATAGATCTATTTATATTGTAAATCAAAATTTACCAATGCCTGATAAGGATAAATTACTTAATCCAGAGTCTATTCGAGCAATAATTTTAGTGATTAACATATTTTGAATGTTTGGATCAAAATTCTGACAGAAGTATGATTTAGATATAGCTATTGTTAAGTGTAAAAGAAATATAAACAGTTAATCTAATAATGGTTTATT